TTTTCATACACACACACACACACACACACACACACACACACACACACACACACACACACATATATATGTATGCTTTTTTTGAAGATGAATAAAGTCATCTAAATTGGGTGAGCTGGGGAGCCTTATGCAGTTCTTTTTTTTTCTTAGAGTTCCCATCGCTTTTGTCAGAATAGGGCCAGCCCTTCTAGGTATAATAGCAGTCCCAGAACAGTCCTTAATGTGACAGATCGTGAAAGTCTCCTTTTGAGAATAAGGGTTTATCCAGTCCTGTAACCTGCTCCTCACCCATCCAGCACTCTTATACTGAGAACTGACACTCCCTTTGTCAACCTTGAGATTTGTTTGCTTGCATAAGTATAACAAGGTACTGTGGTTTTTCATTTTTACAGATCACCTTTAACTCAATTTCTACAACCCCTTTGGTGTGGGAAAGGTAGTTAGACTTCCTTTCAGCCACCTGCTGGGCTAGGAGGTAAATTTACGTGGTAAATTTCACTACTTCCATATAGCTATTGTATTCTGGAACATGATGGATTTAAAAATCTGTATTTCACTGTGCTGTCTGAAATAGTCAGGACACCAAGATACATTTAGATACATCACCAAATTGCTGTGTGATTTGGAACAAATAATTTCACTTGTTGTAAAATGGCATCTACTTTTCTATTTTTTGGAGGCTGTCATATCAAGCTCTGGGACTCTCTAATAAATCCCATTATAAAGCATTATATAAAAATCTCTTTTATGATAAGAGGAAAGGTCCCCCTTTGGCATTAAAGTGACCACTGCAAATACTAAGAGCTGAAGGCAATGCAAAATTCAGACTAGTGAATCAAAAGGAAACCTAGAGAAAGAATTCTTTCTGATCACAAAGTAAATGCCATGCCCTCTAAATATAAATGCAATATCCCTACACAGAAGCAACAAGAAAGTTCAGCACAGAAGGCGCAGAGCAAACCAGCCACCATCCCTGTGCCAGCCCCCACTAGCAGCATGCATGGCCAGCTGGCAGCTGCCTTTTCACCAGCTGAGAGGTGGAAAGCAAAGAAAGAGAAGCAGAGAAGCAACATATGGCACCAGCCTGAGATTTGTATCTCAAAATCTCACAGTCATTTTTCACTGATGACAAATGCCACAGACACAGTAACAACACATAGGAGTTTTCAAGTAAAGGCCAGGGGTGAATCAACATTGCCGAGAATGAAAAGCTGATCCTCCACCAAGCACACAAATTATCTGCCTGGATACCTTGGAAGGCGGCAATTAATGGTACCTCTCTTCACAAATCTACGCCCCTCTCCATCATTCATCACTTGTGCATGAGCAGAGAAGCCATAGACAGCATTCCAGACATGTAGAACCTAAGCCCCTATTGTCTGTGAGTACCTGGCAGGAGGCAGCTTCCCCGTCAGAGCATCACAAAGAGGCTGCCAGCATTTGTATTAGCCCAGCCCGGGCTCAAAGTGCTTGGTCCAGGTCCCCAGGGTGGGCTGAGGCAAGACCACGATGGGGAAGAAAAGGAAGAGATTTGAGAGATACATACGAAAGACGGAGGATCCAGCCAGACTTCCAAACTTGCGCACGTCATTATCTAAGGACAGAAGGATGCAGTGGGTTTCAGAGGCAATTCAGAAAACACACCTGCTTATGGGAATCCCCACTTCCACTCCACCCCCAGCACCAGGGAACCCCGTGAAAACAAATGGAAGGGTAACAAAAAAGTGTAAAAAGCAAAACAGACCTGTCTTTTCCTATTGAGAAAAAATATATACTCTACCCCAACACCTGATAATGTGATTGCCCTTTTCAACTTAACTTTTTCCTTAAAGTACAAACTCTGAATATTAAGTGACTCTTATACCTATTTAATAGAAGAGACTAGAACCGAGGAAGTTAGTTTGTCCAAAGCCTGTAGCAGGAGTCAAAAGTGGAGTCAAGACTTGAGCCCAGGTGCGTTTTCTACAATAGCCTATTGTTTCCCCAGTAAGCTATGGCTTAGAAACTAGAATACCTGAGCAAGCAGTGGTCATGATGGCTGGGACACCATAGTAGGTAAAGGCTCCATTCTCGAAGCGAAGACCTTCCTTACCAACCTCCACCTCCACTTTACCCTGGAGAAAGAAGTAGTGTACTGAGGGTGTGTCTGAGCACTTTCAGATCTATTATTCACGAGGACTCTAGGCACTTCTGCTTGAATGACACATGGACTCATGTCTGTATCAAAGAGCAATGTTAATTACGTCCAGATTTACATTTCAGAAATAGCACTTCCAACTTTGGTAGCTCTCTGCAGTAAATTTATTGCTTCACTGTTCACAACACAGCACCAGGTCATAAATAACCATGCTCTCCTTCATACAATAACGAACGCTCCATCACATAGGGTCCAAACCCCAGCTAATCGGCCCCGCTGGCTTAGTCTGAGGTTAGACTAAGCAGGTATATCTAAGCAGGCATAAACAAAACCTAATCTTTTGTGAAGCTTGTCGAGTTCATCGTGGATGAGAATGACAGCTAATGTGCAGGAGCTCATACTAAGGATACTAAGAAGCTGATGCTATGTGACACGTACTGCATGGGTTCTCATTCAATCAGCCCCATAACCTCATGAGACCCATATTGTTTTTAATCCCTAGTTTATAGATGAATCAATTTTGAGGTTCAGAGAGGTTAATTTGGTCAAGGTTAATTAGGAAATGGTAACATAAGAATTTTAAAGGCAGATCTTTCCAATTTTAGAGCCCATCCGTTACCTACTACATTTTATTCCCTTCACACTTTATTTGAAAACTTGAATTTTTATTAAGCATCAAAGGATTGTGTGCACTCTTTACATTCTATAAATGATATATCAGGACCCATCTTAATTTTCAACAGTAAGAAATGTTACTCCAGTTTTGGAAAAGATTGCTCATTGTATTGAGGCAATTTGGAAGAACATATATGAAACAAATGACAGTGTCAAAGCAGAGAGGCCAAGGTGGACTGTAAAAAAGGGAGGTCATTTCTAAGTCAATAGAAGCTCTATCAAGATCTTAAAATTATCGCTGTGTTTAGGGTTCATAAGATTCTGCTGGGAAGACAAGGAATCAAGTGACAGAAAACATGGTGGAGCTAGGACAGGCACTGGTATTCCAGTGGAACTGTGCCTGATACTTATTTAAGACAGGCCTGTCCAGGCACCCAGGGCAGATGATTATATGAATACTTGGAGATGCTGCACTTCTTTTACTCCATCATTTTTCTCCCTTTCTGGTTCCCTGAAGAGGGAGAAGATTCAAGGGACTACAAAAGCTGAAATATGGCACAGAGAATGAATGTGTTCAGTGTGCTTCCAAAGAGCAAAGAAAGCACCAGTTGGAAGTCAGATGTAGTAAGATTTCAGCTCAACAGAGAAAAGAATTTCAATAAGAATTGCCTAAGATTTAGGAGATGGGAACAGCTTCACTTTGTGGGATACTCAAGCAGAGAACAAGAGGTACTGGGATCTGAGAGCAGCAGTTTTGGAAGTCCAGAGATAGAACTCCTCTACCAGAGAGGCATTCGCCCCATGCCAAACACACCTGAGTGGCCAGAGACTAAGACCATCAAAGATCTATCATTCTTAGGACACCAGTCTTCCATGCCTACACCTTTCTGTGGGTCATGTAGAAATGCCTACCTAATTTCCTTTGTTCCAGAGGCAGCCAGCCAAGTTTTGGTTGCCAGCACTGAAGGAGGCATAGCCATTCTTTTTCACCCTATAGATGCCCTTGTCTTGCCCTTGACTTTGTTGCTTACCTGTAGAAGCAGCACAAAGTAGTCCACAGGGCGGTTACGCTGGTAGAGGTAGTGTTCTGGGGCCTTCTTGTTCTTCTCATCAAACTTCAGCTCCTGGATCACGTTGGGATGTTTCAGGAGCCGGAGGAGAATCTTCTCCGAAAGGTAAAGAGACTTGAAAGGCTCCACTTCTAGGGGACAGTTGGGGCGGGGGTCAGCACCTTTGGCCCCACCCACTCCAGTAGCAGCAGCTGGGAAGAGTCAGAGTGGGTGCCACTGGGGCGTGCAACTAGAACACCCCTTTCATGCTCCAGGATACCAGGCCGGTGAGGCTTCTGGATTTGTTGGGTCTGAGGGACCCTAAACCCATGTGTGTGCCTCAGGGCTGTTCTCCTTCCTTCTAGGGATGTTTGTATTTGCAATGACATCTCAGGAGAAACAGGTCACCATTTTGGAAATATCAGTTTTGTTTTTCATTTCCTCCTTGATTTTATTTAAAGCTGGGCATGGATAACTAGGCCAGTGAAGACAATGAAGATTTTACTGCCATAATAGAATGAAGTACAGAAAATTTAATCTGACTTATTTGCATGACACACATCTGTTGAACGAAATAAAATTCCAAGTATAGAGAAAGGTAATTAAACGATAAGCTGTATCATATTTACATATGAATAGATATTATTATGTATTTAGAGATGGTATCACTGAAAATTTGGTGAATGTTTAAACTAGAAAAATTACATTAAAAGACATATTGCCATTAATCCCCTTCAAAATACTCCATTTTGCTTTGAACACATTTCTCCCATCATTCTTGCGACCGTCTTAAGCAGTTTTGGAAGTCTTTTTTCATGTCTTTTGTTGCACCTTGACTGTGGGGAAGAGCCAGAAACCACATGGTGTCATATCTGGTGAATAAGGTGGATGAGAACACACTATAATGTTTATACAAATATGCCTTTCTATTCGGTGGCACTCGGAAGTAGCATCCACTGTTATTTTTTTAATAACACCTCATAAAGACATGAAAGGAAACTTCTAGAGCTGCTTCAGAAAGTGCCAAGGACAACGAGGCATGTTCGATACAAGGTGGAATACTTGGTAATGTGTCTTTTGCTGTAATACAATTAAAAAATTTTTTAAAAATTCACTGTATATTTTGATCCCATCTTGTACTTATAGCATATCATTAAACAGGTACATCTGCTTTGCTCTGGGAAATTGGCCAGGAGTTTAAAGAAATCTGTACTTAGAACTAGATTACATGTTGAAAACTCTGAGAATCTCCAACTTAACATTTTCTACTCTTTAGCCACCCAAAGCCTTCATTATTTATTCAACAAATATATATTGGATTAATTATATATTGAAGTTAGTGGTGGATAAGATCTTTCTAGGTCGGTACATTAACTAGGCATGAATGAGAAGGTCAGAGTTCAAAGACAAACTTCACCTTCTTTGGGAGAAGGAGTTTATATTTATGTTTTTATTTAGATTTAGATTTAGTTTATATTTAGATTTTCTCATCTTCTTTACTTTCGAAAGGCTCTAAAATTCAAAATCCAATTTTTTATTTTAAGAACTTGTTGCTCACCGATACATGGCCCTTGGAGGATACTGGGTCCATAGATCTTATTGGGTAGAACAATGCCTTTCCCTCCAGGGCAAGTTCTCTGGGGCACCTCAACTTGACCGGGATGGGGGCTGACATCAAGCTCCAGCCAGGAAGTAAGTGGAGAAAAAGAAAAGTGCAGCAATGGTTTCTTTCTTTTTTCTCTCAAGCAGAAGAGAGGGGTGAGTTGTACTGTACTCACTTCTTCCCCTAGAAGATCACCTGGGCTCATCCCCATGTGGCGTTCCGTCACTCTAGGGAGGGCAAACTTTTTCCTATAACAATGATTCTCAGCACTGGTCACATGTTGGAATGAGGTTGGAAGGGATTAAAGTAGCTGGTTCCTGGTCTCATCCTAGTTTCTGCTGCAACTACCCTGGGGTGTGGAGTTGGGGTGGGCAGGTCCTACCTGTGGCCATGAAGCGGTGTGTGGCCAGCAGAAGCTGTGGTGAGATCTTCACTTTGATCTCTGAGTCGGAAAGCTTAAATAAGGAGAAGTCATGCCGTTTCCTCTCTCGGTGCGGGACCCTTTGTTTTTTCCGATTGTCGGCTGCAGGGTAACGGGACAGATTGCAGCTATCTCAGAAGCATTGTTGGTCTTTGGAGATTTTCCCAGAGTCAAAGAGGACAGGCAGATACTTTAGGACCACATACATTTTTGCAGTGCCAAGTTTAGAAGACATTACAACATCTCTTTCCCAGGAAGTGGAAGGGTGTTGATTAGTGTTAACAGGTGGAAGATGGGCTCTAATATTCTCAGTGTTATTTACATTTGGGTAGCAGAAAGGTGATAAAAGGAAGAACTGGCTTGGGGTTCCCATCTTCGACATTCTAGCATTCTACTGCTGGCTCCCTACTCACTAGCCCTGCAGCCTCTCTTGCTTTGGTTTCTGTTTGTTTTAATCTATACAAGGGGGCTGAAATATTTAATAACAGCTCTTTTACTTGTCTTGTCTCACTGCTATGAGACTCCAACAGCACTACATTGGAAGGTGTTCATAGCATTCGAACATGAAGGACTGGCATTCTTGGCATCAAGAAGGTTGGTGCAGACCAGAGAGTTTCTGCCTCTATCCTCCTCCTTTCCGAGAACCAGGTTTACCTGGTTTCTTTCTGCTGATTTGAGCCATGCCTTGTGGGACTTGAAGCATGTTACTGTCTTATCAGTCACAATACTGCTTCAAACCCAACCCCTCCACTTGGGAAGAATCAAGAGAAATACTAGAAAAAGGAAAGGAGAAGAATAAAAATGAGCCTACAATGTGTAAAGACAGATTCTTTAGGCAGGGGACCTGGACAGGACCTGAGACTTTAAGACCTTGTACAGTAAGTCCCCAAATTATGGACATTCGTGTTGTGAACTCTCACAGGTACAAACGAACTCAGTGTGAACAAATCATGGAAGCAGCTCGCATGTCCGCCAGACACTCACAGCTGTGCTGCTGTGTGCTAACTGTGCACTGTGATAGTGTACAGTAGGACAGTACCATCTGGAAGATACTTTATTTTTTCAGTGTGTGTGTGTGTGTGTACTTTTTTTATGCTTTAAATAGTATATTTGTGTCAAGGGTATATAAAACTCACTTTGTTGGATTTACAAATGAATCCTACTTACAAATGTTCTCCTGGAACAGCACTTGTTTTTAAGTTGGGGACTTACTATACACTGGCCATGTGATTACTGGTTGAGAAAATTTGCTTTTTCTAATTTTTTTCTTGCTTATTTAAGCTTGTCTTTAAAAATAAATACATAAATCAATAAATGTTGGTGGGTATTTCTTTGGTCACTTTTCTTCTGCTTTCTCTAAATTAAAAAAAATTGAACCTGCTAACCTATCTCACTTGTGCTAAAGGCAATAGGAAAAGGATTTGAGTTCTCTTCTAACTTGGTCTAGAAAGCACAGGGCTGCAGAATACTTCTAGTGCAAGTGGACTGGATGGGATAGAAAGTGAAAGGAATGAATCCCTAGGGACAGGAAGTTATGACTCGAGAATCTAGCTTCCTTTTTTGCTCCCTTTCCTGCTGGGGCCTCTGTCTTCCTGACCCTTTGACACCCCTCAGCTCTTCTGCACCTTTATAGCTCTGAAACTTTACAGTCCATGGCTGCTGTTTTAACACTTTTCCTCAAGTGGAGGTAGAGGGGACCCATGTACCCATGAGTTCAGACCATGTGAGAGGTAGGGGACATCTAAAAAGAAACATAGGGACTGGGGATTTAGCTCAGTGGTTCTGCCACCTGCTTCACAAGTGCAAGGTACCAAGTTCAATCCCTGGTACCAAACAAACAAACAAAAAAAACATAGTACTTCTGACTCCTCAGTCTTCACAGCTCTTAAAAATTATGCTAGAGGGCTAGGGATTTAGCTCAGTTGTTCTGCCGCCTGCCTTACAAGCATAAGGACCCAAGTTTGATCCCTGGTACAAAAAAAAAAAAAAAAAAAAAAAAAAAAAAAAAAAAAAAAAAAAAAAAAAAAAGCTAGAAGCTTATTTAAGGGTAGGAAAACTCTGACCCTCTCCTATAGAAAGAGGATCACTCCACAAATGAGTAACAAGTACAGGTTTGGGACCCATTTCTTCTGTTCTCATTAGTGAGCTGCATCCCAAGTTGTATATGTTTGCCTATATACCCACTCCCTCTCCCTGATCAGAATATCATTTAAAGGCTGGGGATTTAGCTCAGTGGCACTGCACCTGCCTGGCAAGTGCAAGGTCCTGAGTTTGATTCCTGGAACCAAAGAAAAAAATGCCATTTAACATTTCCTAAATAAATCATTGCTCTGATCTCCCCCTTCATTCATTTAATTTTTAAATTTATTTTAATGTAATACAAGTAGATGTTAAGAAAGAAAATATAAATAGCACTCTTCTTAGTTCTATGAAAAAATAAAATTTCATAACAAAATAATTAGAGAATAAAAATAGCTAATATACTACATATCATGATCTTAAAAAATGGCCAAAATGCTACTCAGAGTATAAGTCACAGACAAAAAAGACTCTCTATTAAATGAAACAAATTAGCATATATGTATATATATGAGTTTTTCATATAAAAGAAGCCTTGCCATGTTTAAACTTGTGTGTCTGATTTATTTCATTTAACATTATGTATTCAAATTACATCCATTTGCTCATGAATGCCTCAAGTGTATCTTTTTTCACAGCAAAGTAGTATTCCACGGTGTATAAATACCACATTTTCTTCATCTATTCATCTGTTAATGGATATATACCATTGTTTCTAAAATCTAGCTATTATCAATTTTTTTTTTTTTTTTGGCACTGGGGATCGAACTCAGGTCTTTGTGCCTGTGAGGCAGGCAGCAGAATCACTGAGCTAAATCCCCGGCCCTATCAATTTTGATTTTAACAGTAGGTGTTTGAAATGTTAAGACTGTTCAAAGGCTCTGGGAAGAGCTTATTCATTTAGGCTACTATTAGCCACTAACATTTTAGTGTGAATGTCTTCACCAATGTGTTTACTGAGACATCCAGCAATTCTAGAGCAAGAGTGGTAGGCACAGGTGGAGAAGAGAGCCTAGAATGGGAGAGCTTGATCACTTTTTAAAGAAGACAGCTTGGCCAGCACAGCACAGCAGTGCCAGATCTCTGGAAGGAGATGCTGTGACACTCCTGCTGGTTTCTGTCAAGTCCTGGCCCACCTTTCTGATTTGATCTTTAGGTCAAATGGGAAGGCATTTTTTCTGTACCACTCACTTCCTTATGGTATTAAAGCTTCTTGCTACCAGGAGCCAGTTTCTGAAAGGCTGCTTCTAGCAACTAAGGACAAAGATCTGAAATAAGGTATCTGAGGGAGAGGGAAAGGGATGGTTATCCCACAGGATGAAATTCTTGGGAAGAAACACTTCCTGGCCCAGGGACTACCAAAGTTTTGGAAAATATTTCTATCCCAGAGACAAACCATGCCTATGTAATGTTTGCAAGCAAATTTAAAAAGTAATTTAAAAAGGTAATATTCAGAGAGGCATCCATAGCATTCCTGAAGAGGAGCAGGGAGGAGGATGAAGAGATCAGAAAAAGGAGGGAGCCAGAGACAGGATCCAGGCAGGTGTTTGGTCCAGAGGGTAGAGGGTGGGAGATTAGAAAACTAGAGTAGTGGTGCTAAAGGCATAAGGAAAAAGAGCAATACATTTAAGAAACAGGGCATTTAAGTTTTTGGTTTAGGAGGGGGGCAATATTATGAGAGCGTCCATTGCTCACTGATGTGTTGGTGTGAGCAGAACTCCCAGGCGCACTGGGGTCTACATCTAGGTACACAAAGAGATAACAAAGGAACAACAAAGGGGAAGAGAAACAAGGCCTCTGGCTGCCCTCTAGGGTATGTAGTGTTTCCTTTAGACCTTTTCCATTCAAGGCTGGGTGGTCTCCTTTTCCTAGTCTTGGCTCAGCTCTCACAGGTTCCCTCGTAAATATTTAGCTAGTGGGTTCCCAGTGATGCAGAGTGATCCAGGCTAGGGTATCTTGCCATACCAGAATGAGGCAAAGGTGGCTGACATACATCAGTGTACAGAGCTTTCTCTGACATCCTTCACTCTGTATGTCAAACTACTCTGTCCCCAGCAGTCTCAGAGGAAAACACAATGATCATGGAGAACAGCCAAGGCTGTGCACTTACTGTAGAGGTCAGTTTCATCCAGGATCTCTGACTTGATGATTTCCTCTATGATGTCTTCCAGTGTGACAATGCCCATTACCTCATAGAAAGGGTCTCCTTCTCCCTCATTATTCACCCTCTGGACAATGGCCAGGTGAGATTTTCCTGGAGAACAAATGAAATCATAGTAAAGTAACTGGGACATTTTCAGAGATTTTTTTTCCTTGTGAAAAAATGATACAAAGTTGCTGTTGGTTAATACTAGCACTGAATCTACCCCAGGAATTCTTTAAAATATGAAATGTGTGCGCAAGCTCTTATAAAATGCAAGTCTTATACTTTAAAAGATATACAGTTGTGTGTTGTTTCATGACAGGGACACATTTTAAGACATGCATTGTTAGGAAATTTTTTGCTGTGTGAACATCAGAGAGTGTAATTATACAAACTAAGATGTTTATGACACTACTAGGCAATATAAACTAATGGGATTATCAGTGTTTATATTTTAAACTGACATATAATAGTTACACATATTTATGGGGTACAGTGTGATATTTCAACATATGTACGATTTACAATAATCAGATCAGGGTAACTACTATATCTATCACCTTGATATTATCATTTGTTTGTGTCAATTCTCCGTACTCGCTGTTCTGAAATATACAACTAATTGTAGTCAGCCATAGTTACCCCACTATTCTATAAAATATTAGAAGTTATTCCTATCCACCTGTACCCCATACCCACTATCTTCGTTACTTTTCACAATGCTGAGGTCAAATGCCCGATACCTACAAGTTAACAGAGAAAGGCTTATTCTGGCTTGCAGTTTATATAGGTTTCAGCTTATTGTTGGCTGGCTCCATGGCAGAGTGGTACAGCTGAGGAGAAACAAGGCAGGGTAGGCAGGAAGCAGGAGCAGCAAGCAGCAAGCAGCAAGTCTGCAGTTCCCTTTTATTCCATCCAGGCTACAAGCCTTTTGGAGTGGCACCCACACCCTGGATGGGGCTTCTGTCTTCAGTAAACCCATTCAGCCACACCCAGAACTATACTAATTCCAATGGGTGGACAAATTTAATGCCATACACCCATAATGCCAGTATCACAAGCCCTAGATCAAGCCACCTCCAAAAAGTCCTATCTATGAGCACATGAGGCTCCGGAGTGTGACATCTGGATACAAGCTATAACATCCATTAACCATCCTTTTGCCATCCTCCCCTTTCCCTGGCCCCTCCCAGCCCCGGCAAACTTTATACTTTTACATCTCTGCTTCTTTTTAGGGAAGTCATCTAATATATCCAAAGCTAGTTAAAATTTTTTTCTTTGAACTTTCACATATTGGCAAGTACATGCTAGCTGAAGGAAGCTGAATAATCTAATTGAAAGGCAGAAATCTAGAATAAGAAGTATTAGATTAGAAGTCATTCTCTCCTAAACCTCTTCCTGCCTAAACATCCTAATTACTATCCCTGGGCAAATCATTTAATCCCTATTGAATGATAATCTCTTATCTAGAATTAGGGAATAATATCAGCACCTATTCTCACCTTTTTGCTAACGTGTGCCATGAGATGACAAAACAAATGACTAGTATAATGGGAAAACATGGAAAAGTGATTTTTTAAAAAGTCATTTTCTTAAAATTGGATTTTTTCTAATGTAGCGCCCAGAACACATTTAATACAATACAACCATACATCTCACCACTACTAGGCCATGTTATAGGATTAAATTAAGTTTTTGACATTTTACAAAGAGTACCCTAACTTTCACATGAAAGAGCCACCTCCATACTTTATAAAAACAATTTGAGGATATACTATGGTATCACCAAGGAATGGAGACTTTAAGGCCTTGTACTCCTTCTTGCCACAGCACTTTGTGACCATTATCATATACTACTTTTACATGTCAGTATTTTACTATTGACACATAATGGCATGTATTAACTGCCAGTATCACTACTAATTTATTATAGAAGACACCATTCATTATATACATTCTAGAGGCCAGGTACAGTGGTAGGCATAATATACACATTATTTCACCATACTATTGTTTTCTATTTGTGTGTAATCTCCCCATTGTGAAGGTTAGATCTCTTCTTACATCTATGAATTATTAATCTGTTTCCCCAGAATTCAAAATAGTACCTAGCACACTGTAATTAAAACTGAGCAAAGGGCCAGGCATGGTGGTACATACCTGTAGTTCCAGCTACTTGGGAGGCTGAAGCAGGAGGATCATTTGATCTTAGGAGATGAAGACCAGCCTGGGCATCATACCAAGACCCACTCCCCGCCTCTCCAAAAAGGAAGCAAAAGACTGAATTGATATTTCTCCAAAAAAGATAAAAACCTAGTCAGTGTACATGGGAAGATGTATAACATGGCAAACTCAATTAACCAGTGGTGGGTTACTGAATGATCACATGCACAAGAATAAAATTGGATGTCTACCTCACATCATACACAAACATGAATTCAAAATGCATCAAACACCTAAATGTAAAATTATAAACTCTCAGGAGAAAACATAGGAGTAAAATCTGATGACCTTACAGTGGGCAATGGTTTCTTAGCTAGGACACTAAAAAGTGCAATCAATCAAAGAAAAAAACAGATAAATTGGACTTCACCAAAATTAGAAACATATATACATCAAAGGACATCTTCCAAAAAATGAAAGGCAGCTCAAAGAATGGAAGAAAATATTTGCAAGTCAAAGTCATCAATATCACAAATATATAAATACCATAATTTATGAGAAGATAACTCAATTACAAAATGGATAAAGGATTTGAATAACTATTTCTCCAAGAAAGATATAATTGGTCAATGTGTATGTTAAAAGATTCTTAACACTGTCCTCCTCAGGGAACTTCACATCAAAATGTGAATGAGATACCATTAACGTGATTGCTGTAATGAAAAAAAAAAAAGACAAATGTTGGGAAGGATGTGGAAAAACTGGAACTCTCAAGTCATTGCTTGTGGTATTCAGACAATTCTTCAAAATGTTAACCATAAGATTATCATATGTTCCAGAAATTCCATTCCTACAAAAATGCAAACATATGCCCACACAGATACTTGTATACAAAAGTTCAGAGCAGCAGTATTCCTGAGATCCAGAAAGTATAAACAATCCAAATGTTTCTGAACAAACAGAATCTGGTATATATCCATACAAAGGAATATTTTCTGGTCAAAAAAAGGTATGAAACACATGCTACAACATAGAGAAAGCTTGAAAACATGCTAAGTGAAAGAGGCCAGACATAAGAGCCCACATGTTATATGAGTCTACTTATATGAAATTTCCAGAATGAACAAATCTACAGAGGAAGAAAGTAAACTGGTATCTTCCAGAAACTGGGGAAAGAAGGGAGTGACTGCTGATGGGTTCAGGGTTTCTTCTGGGGTGATGGAATGTTCTGGAATTAGATAACGGCAATGGTTGTGTAAGTCTGTGAGTATGCCAAAAAGCATAAATCGGGTATTTTAAAATTAGAGTAAAGTTTGGGCTGAGGATGTAGCTCAGTGGTAAAGTACTTGCCTTACACATGCAAGGCCCTGGGACCAGTCCCCATTTCTGAACAAAAAGTGAATTTTATGGTACGTGAATTATATCTCTATGAAGCTATTTTTTTTTAAAGAAGAAAGCCAACTGAAGGGAATGTAATAACCCATGCCTAAATGAACAGAAAGTGTGTGAGGCTCAAAATTAGAACTGACATACAGAGGAGCAGAACTAGAGAATAAGTTGAAAGGAAAAAGCAGTAGTATTGATTGGGGTGTGGGTAATAGTGCTGGTAAAATACTGTTGAGATCACACATTGTTGTTTTGTGCTCTGGGATTTGAGGACTAAAAGTGGACGTAGGTAAGGCCGTTAGGAGACCAGAAATGGGAGAGTGGGTATCACCCTCTGTTTTGTGGTGGAAATTGGGAACAGTGCTAAAGGCTTGGTCACTGATGGGAGGGGGTGAATCTGAGAATAAACAGTTGTGAGCCTGTGCACAGGAGGGTCACATCAGCTCTCAGCGATGAGGGTGTTTAAAACTTACAAACTCGGGCAGATTTGAAACAAGAGAGGCTCTAATTTCCCAAGTGTTTCTATCTTTTTCTGGGCAAATGATGATTTCTAACCTGCAACATTTGTTCTCCCATCAATGAGTGTTGTATTTCCTTACTAATGGCATACTTGGGAGAGCAGCTTAAATTTTGGCTATTTCTCTTTTCTGCCTTCCTATGAGATTTCTGAGAATAGGAGCTGTGGGCTTTTCTGTTGAGCCGCCCCTCTTCCCTCTTCGGACTAGAAAAATTTTCCAGATGCTTTCAGGAAACTATAGTCTATTAATTCCCTCTCCTCAACTTGCTAGAAAAATAGAAGGCCTGTGAAATAATTTAGGCTAATAATGTTGGTTATAATTTCCATTTATACCGAACTTCACAGCATGTCAAGAGGCATTACAGTATATAGAAGAAGAGCCTTGGAGTTTGTGAGATGTTTTTAAGAACTTCCTGAACCCCTCACTGTGGGAACCAGAAATGATTTGATATAACCCTCAGCTTGCTGTAGAAACTACTGAGACACATGTGTGTTCTTTTGTTTGTGGTACTGGGGACTGAACCCAGGGCTTTCACTCTGAGCTACACCCTCAGCCAATTTTAGTTTTTATTTTGAGACAGCTTCTCACTAAGACACTAAGTTGTCTTGGACTAGAACTTGTAATCCTCTTGCCACAGCTTCCCAGAGTGCTAGGATTATAGGCATCTATCACCATGCCTGACTTTGTGTGTACTCTTAAACAAGTTTACTTCTTTCATTAAGCAGTGCTCTCTCACATGATGGCCATTTTCTTTGAGGATGTGGAAAGACATTGCTTACTTTTCTTCCTTTTTTTTGGTACCGGAGATTGACCTTGGGACACTGTGCTTGCAAGGTGGTGGCAGCACCACTGAGCTAAATCCCTGGCCCACGATATTGCTTCTTTAGGATCATCACTGCAGACAAGATGATTTGTGGAACAGCAAAGCTGTACTAAATTTAAGATGTGGAAGAATAGGTTACGCAGAATAATTTGCTCTGTACATCCTCAAACAAGCACAAAGCAATCAGGCTCTAGCAGAATTACCCTCCCAGTTTCCAGAAA